TGTATTTCAATGTAAAATTATATGAAAACAATAAATTTATATGTGAACTCATAACACTACTGTGTCTTAAGACGGCTAAGAAGAACATGAAGTCGTAAATCTTAGGAGTCAGATTAAGAGGAGGTTAAGATCCACCTTGAGACGTAACACCAGTTATTATGAACATGTAATAAATTAATTAAAATATTTTAATTAAATATTAAATTGACTACATATATTAATAAATAATATTTACATCATTTTAATTCACTTTTCAGCGTGACTTTATTAATTTCAAGTGCTTCACATAATTTTTTGATTAGAGATGCAAAGTTTAATTTATTCGCAGATTATTTTAATAAGAAAACTAAAGATACTGAAGCACTTTTTTTTAGCTTAATAATTATAAATAACAGAAAATTATATTAGAAACCATTTCCATACATTATTATTCACCATGCAAAATTTTAAATTAGAAAACAAATTAATGGAAATTCTGATATAAAAAATCGTATAAATGCTTGAATAATTTTATGTGTAATTGCAAATGGAAAAAAAATTAATGCACTTTCAATTCTTTTCAATTTTAATTTGAGTTTATGAAACTGCAATTTCTGAGCGAAAAACCAATTCGAACATGAAATGCTTCAACGCTTCTACATTAAACGCTTCAGTAAGTAATGTCGCGTGCCTACCGCAAAATGTGCTGTCCGTGCGCCTCTTGTGATTGTCTTATTTTTAGTCTGTGACTAAGTCCACAGCTAGTATCTCTAGACTGTGGGCCGGCCAATTCGTCTGTGTCTGCGTAAGTTTCACATCTTAAACAAACAGAAATTATATTGGTCTTGAAAATTACAGTTGTTGGTCTTTTTACGGAGCAACATTGAACCAATTTGCCGCCAATTAACAGTTAAATGTTGTGTTCCAATTGTTGTGATAAAAAAAAATAAAAAATCAAAATATTCTGTTATTTTGAATATTGCGGAATTGTTAACATTTATATTATTATTAGTAATTATTAATTTATTATTATATGATAAATTGTAATTGTAAATTTTTATTGATGAAAATTTTTCTATTGACTTACCCTTCAACAAATGTTGCAAGATATTATCTTTGTGCTCTTCCGAGTGCGGCTCACCCAAAACAATCAGCAAATAGCAACCGGTTAAAGGACTTGGTGGTCCGACCATACCACCACCCAAGCTTGATGGACCACCACCATCAGAGCAAGCGGTATCCAATGGTGGACGCCCACCAACTTCTGATGGTGGCAATGAACTAGCACCAGCATCCGTTGCAGCATCATCAACAGCTGCTTCGACATCAGTACCGTCTATAGTGCCACCACCAACAACACCGCTGCCACCAACGCCATTTTCAACATTCATCGTACCATCGCCGGCAGTGCCATTAGCAACAGCAACACCATTTAAGTGTTCTGACAATGCTGGAACGCCATTGCCATTGCCGTTACCGTTACCATTCCCATTGCCATTGCCATTACCATTACCACTAACATTAGCATTAGCATTAGCATTCGCATTCCCACCACCATTGTTAGCTGCAGCTGCGTTGCCAACTAAACCGTTTGTGGCACTTTCTGCACCATTGGCAGCTGCACCGGAAGTTGTTTGATCACCCATCACAGTTACGTTCACTTTCTTATAAATTTCTCTTAAGAAATCCAAATTTATGCAAAACTTTTTATTTCACTTCTCAAATGCAAAACAATTAATTAAGTCAAATGCAACTAATTAAGTCTTGTTTATTGAATTGTTTATTGTTTTTTAAGTTTAACTTAATTTTTCAGTTTATTACAAATAGTTTATCAAAACAGGAACCTTTCGCACTTAAACACAAATTCGAAACATGAAGAAATCTATAAGGACAATTGTAAAATTTTAAAAATTCTGCAACTTTCCCTTACTTCCTTCGGCTGTCTTAATATATATCATCCGTTAAATTTAAAACTTCTTTGAAATTTTAAATCAATCAGTCTTTTCTTTCTTTCTTCCTAACCACAATATCTTGCTCAGTGTTTTAATTTAGTTCAATTTATATTTGCAATTTTTTTGAAAATTGTCCTTCAAATCTTTGGTATACAATCCGAAGAATTGTACCTGAGAATTATTTCGTTTGATATTTTATTTGGCTTCGTTTCAATGTTCGTTCAATTCACTTGCAAATGCCGCTGAAGACTGAGTGACTGGGCACAGACTCAATGGCAGGCGTAAGCAAGAAACTCTACAAGACACTCATACGCTTCACTTTCGTATGCACTAACTTCACTATACTTTGTTGTTGTTATTGTTGATGTTGTTGTTCTTATTGCTATCGTTAGTACAAACTCCACTGTTGTGTTGTGTTGTGTTTTTCAGTTTGTTTTTGTTTATTTTTTTAAGTTGGCAACACTGCCAATGCTCGCCATTTACTTTAAACTAAAAATGGAAATTTTATAGCAATTGGCGAATTATTTTCTTTAGTTTATTTTTCAATTTTAATTGAATTCAATTTTTTTTTTTATTCTTTTGAGTTTTCTGCAGCAGATGCAATAATCTTTATATTTGTCTTTCAAAAATCTGATTTTAAATACATATACTTTATATATTTTTTATTTTAATTTAAATTTATATATTTATGCATATTTGTGTGTGTTGTTTTTGTTTTTGTTTTTGTTTTGTTTTAATTTTTAATGGTGTTCACTTAAGCGACGATATTTACTTTTTCTCGTGAGTTGTGTGGCGTTTATCGTTTTTTGGTTAAAAATCTTTTGATGTTGAGTATGGCGTGGCTTTAAAATACTTTGGACTATTTTTCATATATATATACTTTATACTTTAACATTAAAATTTAATATTGATATAATGCTGATTTTATATATCTTTTAATTTAATTTAATTTAATTTAATTTTTGCACATTTAGTTATAATCTTAATTGTTAATTATTTCTACTAAAAGTTCAAATAGTTTTTGTTTTTTATTTTAATCGTAAAATCTGCAAAGAAAGAAAAAAATTCATTTATTATAAATAAACTTATAAAAAAAAATATAGTCAGATTAGATTTAAAAAAACTATAATTAACATATCATACATTTATAAGTGTACACAACTTAATTATGTCTACGACGAAATAAGATAAATAAAAAATAACGTCAAGCTGATATTTATATAATAGTCAGATATCATTTTAAATAATACAAGGTTGTCCATTTTCTAAACATGATTGGGCAGCACTATTTCAGTGACATATGTCCAAGTGAAGTATCATTCAAAACTTTAAATATTTAGACCAAGATTTACCATTTCATAGTGTAGACTAGGGCTATCCAAAGTACGCCATGCGAGCCACATATTTGTGACCCGCGAATATTTTTTATGCGGTCCGCGACTTATTTCTAATCTACTACAATTACCCAAATTTTCTTTTGGTGTACTTTTTTTATTTGGTGTATTATTTTATTTTTATGATATACCAAATTAATGAATTTACTAAGCTAATAAATTAATAAAAGTAAATTTAACATTATAACCGTATGTATAATGTTATAATGTATTTATAATAACAACTATAAACGTATATATTTGTTTATGTGGCCCTCAATCTGTACAATAATTTGTATTGGCTCGCGATTCCATCTGGTCTGGACAGCCCTGGTGTAGCCCTGATGATGTTATCATTTAACATCCTTAAATTGTAGAAGCAATGCAAAAATGGTAACTATTTTCCAAATCGAAATTTTTTTAGTGGTGTGTTAGTGATAGTATTTAACATTTTTAGTTTAATGGATATATCAACAAACAATATTAGGTGTATTCGTTCGTTCCACAGTGCAGCAAAAACAAATCTTTTGCTAAAGTCTCTAAATTATACGCAAAACAACAACACTACTCGCTTGCTCTAACAGATTTGTTGCAAAGTATCTAATCATCTAAGAGACTGCATAAAAATATGTCACCAAAGCGATAAGCGATAATTGCGAATGAGTATTCCACTAATATGTCAAAATCTTGTAAAGAAAAAGTCAAACAGGATTAAAAAATTTCACAAATTTAAAAATTGTGAAATAGAAATATTTTAAAAATACACAAATATTATACAGAATAAATGTATTAAAAAATACAAAAAATTTTTAGAATACTTTAAAAAATTGTTCTACAATTTTTTAACTTATAAATTGCTAGTAAGAGACTTTTGCAAGAGATTTTAGTAAGAGACTTTATCACGAGATTGCAGTAAGAGGCTTCAGGAATAAACTTTAGCAAGTAACTTCAGCAAGAATCTTTAACAAGAAACTTTTTACCGCTTCGGGGCGCGCCGAATATACCTATTATATTGTTATCCATTTTCCGAATCTGAATAGAAACACTAGTTTAGTAACATGTGTCCAACAAAATTGCTGTTCAAGGCAACATATGGTTAGCCCACTTCACATAATAAATCGTTTATCAACCTCTCATGATAAAATTACAAAAAATTAATACAAAACTAGTAACAATTTTTAAATTCGAATTTTTTTCAATTTAGTGATAAGATTTATTTTTCTAAATGGATGTTATGTTAACAAACAATAAAATCCACAAGCAACTGCCGAAAGACTAGTACATTTTCAAAAAGTTTTTATATGTTGTAGCATTTGTTCTGGGGTTGTAAAAGGACCGTACTTTTCTGGAAAAGATGTAAGAGTGACATAAATCAAAATCCATTAATTCTAATTGTTGCGAACATATGTTTAGTGAATTTTTTCTTTTTGACCTGAAATTGAATATATAGATATAGATGTAGATATTTCTGCGTACTGGATGTAAAAGGACATGACAAAGGTACTTGCTTAATTGTTGTTTGTTCTATTATTATTAATTATTGTTTATTTTACAGGTAAAGTATCACAAGACTACAGTAGACTATCACAATGGAATATAATTTCAACATAAACAATTCTTTATTTTAAAAATAAAATGTCATACATTGTATTTAGTTCAACTTCATATATACATATATCATATCATACATCAAATCATATATCATATCATATCTTATATCATATCATAGCATATATCATATCATATATTATATCATATACCACTCATATATCACATTATATATCATATCATATATTACATACATATCATATCATACACCATATTATATATCATATCATACATCCTATCACATATCATATCATATGAATGATATCATATATATAATATTTTACAACGTATGTGATATTATATACTACAAAATAGATTATATCATATATCATATCATTTGTATCATATATAAGATTAAATAAAATTACATATAATGTAATTTGAACAAAACCAATTTTTTAAATAAAATATTGCATATAGTATTTATGGCAGTTCAATATTATATTTGGTCACATAAGAAAGACAGGCTAATGTTTTCGTATTTAAAGAACTATACACTAGAGTTCAACTACAGAATGTATCTTTCCATTTCCATATCAGTACATCATACTGAAATAATTTCTGTTGTGCTATCCTTTGTTTTTCTTAATGAAAAGTGCAGTTTTATTTTGTACAAATTAGTAAAATCAGCTGCAGACCATAAACTTTGGAATAAATTTTCTATGAAAAGCAAATTGTAGACGTGTTCAGGGAGTGGCAATATTCAGAATGGAAATAAAACTGACAACGACGACACTTTGTCGTGAACAAAAGACTGAGAGGAGAAAGAAAAATTATATTTTATTTTTCATTTTATTTATGACTTTAGCTTTACTTTTTTTATTTATTTCAAAATGTTAACGAAGCGAAAAACTCAATTTATACGATATTTTCCTAACGGTTGGCATTCAACTTGAATTAAATTTGAAGGAATTTTCGCCACTCACAATTGAACAAAATTTTGATATTGAAGATAGCAAATTTTATGCATACATTTCTGTTGTAACGAAAACATACTCGATTTCATTAATTATACGGAAGAGTACCGCAATGGCAAAGTTTAGGCAAAAATATATCTGAGGTTTTGCACATCTTTACAAACCAAAAATAGCAAATATCATCAATCAAATATCAAGGCATGTTGGCATAATCT